GACATTGTTGAGATGATGATGTGGGACAATACACTCTGTGCCTGCAATGCAAGATCATGTCCAATGCCTGCTTAGAAAAATATGCAAAGCAATATTTCCAGTTACATTCTCAGTTGTGCTGCCTATTGAAAAAGTAGCACTTTGATGATTTATCTAGTACCTAGTACCAACAGGCTCCAAAATATTTATGTCTTTTCTAGATACTGCACTTCAACAAATAATGAGGAACATCTTCCACAACCAACTCCCCCATTTATTCAGTGACTCAAAACAGAAGGAATGTTTCGCAAGCGTCTGTCCAAAACCACAGAGGACCTCCATGAAATGGAAAGAGTGTGAGTGCTCTTGAAACTAGATACCTTATTACTTCTGATAGCTAATTTTCTCCAAACAAATTTGTTTAAATCAGTCTGTATCCTCAAGCTGCCTTTGCCTTATTTAATGGACACAGATCAAGCTACACAAATTGGCAAATAGTTCTGCAGTCAAGCACTCAATTGTGATTCACAACTCAGTCTTAAGACATGCAATGCCAGGGAAAAACAGTGCAAACATACCTGCAAAGAGTGTTGAGGCCATGGCAGTAACAAAGTTCCAGGATTTAAACAGTGCATCAATATCTGTCTTTCCTAGAAAAGTCTTGTTTTTTTATTCTCCCCTTCTGCTTTGGCATAGCAGGCCTTTGGGTGGGTGTTACAGGATACTTACAATTATGGATAGTGAAAAATAGCCCCAAAGGGACTCTTTCAAATGGTGTAGAATTATTATAGTAGCACAGCTGTTCTTCCAACATATGCCTCTGACCACTGCTTGTTTGCATTTGGTCCCCCGATTATAACATGATTATTTTGGGTAAGTGGCCTGCAGATTCTCTTAAACATTCATGCTTTAAAGTTAATGTGTAGACATTGACAAACAATGCCCAAATACATAGAAGCAAAGCATTGAAGAACTCAGTGTTAGCGTCCTTCTTAAAAATATAAAGAGACCTAGATGTAGCTGATGGTTTCTATGTTAAGTGTGTGTGTGTCAGGAGCGATTTGAGAAACTGCAAGTCACTTCTGGTGTAAGAGAATTGGCTGTCTGCAAGGACATTGCCCAGGGGACACCAGGATGTTTTTGATGTTTTACCATCCTTGTGGGAGGCTTCTCTCATGTCCCTGCATGGAGAGCCGGAGCTGACAGAGGGAGCTCATTCACACTCTCCCCGGATTCAAACCTGCAACCTGACATTCTTCAGTCCTGCCGGCACAAGGGTTTAACCCACTGGGCCACTGGCGGCTCTGGTTTCTATGTTGATGGAGCAGGACCCACTTCAAGTTTTAATTCACACATTAAAGTCATGGTGCTGAACCTGTCCCTTTCCAGCACCTTGGAAAGCTCACATAAAGTTATGGGAACCTAATGTGGATTTACTGCCTCTTGACATGTGCAATCACCTCTGAGCTGACCTCTAACATTGGACAAGAGTCTGTACAATGCCTCATTCCTAAATCCAGATTTGAGGTCAACATAGAGTTTCCAACAGAAGTCAGTCAAGTGCCTTTAGGAGGCACCCCAACAGCCTTCAATAGATGGGAAAACACTTATTAAAATGTATTGTCGAAGGCTTTCATGGCTGGAATCACTGGGTTGTTGTAGGTTTTTTCAGGCTATATGGCCATGTTCTAGAGACATTCTCTCCTGATGTTTTGCCTGCATCTATGGCAAGCATCCTCAGAGGATGTGAAGGTGGCTTTTCCTTCATTTTTTAAAATACAGACATACTCACATATAAAATGGTATTAGGAAGGGAAACATACAAGGAATTCATAGGAAGAGGGGGGGGGGATCATGCAGGGTCTAAATGAAAGTCACGCCAGCCCCCCAAAGTCCATTGAAGTTCATATAAGTTTGGAAAAGTTGATAAAAAGAGTTCATAAGGGTTCACAGTGCATATGGATTTGACAAAGAGTCCATGGAAGTTCCTAAAGGTCTTAAAAGTCCTCAGAAGTTGAAAAAACTTCCCAAAGGTTTATAGAAGTTGGAAAAAGTTCATAAAGTTTGGGTTACAGGGGCATTGCCATGTGGGGCCATGCGGCCATGGAAAAAAACTTAGGTTTCCACATGGGGGAGAGATGGGAGGTTATGGGATCATTCCAGCCTGGTGTCCTTGGCAAAACTATGAATTCCCCGATTTTGAACAATCTTTTACAGAGTCCTTGGGGAGTGGGGGGGGGGGGCTGATCTCAATTGGCCAGCCTCTCAGCCAAGGGGAAGGCTGTTTCCGAGACTCCAAGCAGGGAGGAGAGAGCAGGCATGCTCGGCGCATGGCAGCATGGTGCATATGTGTGGGTGAGGGAGAGCATGCAAGGCTAGAGGAAGATTTGTGCTAGCAAGTCCCTTCAAGGCATGAGGGTTCTGTGTGGGAAGCTTGGCCCAATTCTATCGTTGGTAGGGTTCAGAATGCTCTTTGATTGTAGGTGAACTATAAATCCCACCAATCACAACTGCCAAATGGCAAGATCTATTTTCCCCAAACTCCACCAGTGTTCACATTTGGGCATATTAAGTATTCGTACCAAGTTTGGTCCAGATCAATCATTGTTCGAGTCCACAATGCTCTCTGGATGTAGGTGATCTACAACTCCAAAACTCAAGGTCAATGCCCACTAAACCCTTCCAGTATTTTCTGTTGGTCATGGGAGTTCTTTGTGCCAAGTTTGGCTCAATTCCATCGTTGGTGGAGTTCAGAATGCTCTTTGATTGTAGGTTAACTATAAATCCCAGAAACTACAACTCCCAAATGACAAAATCAATCCCCCCGTCCCAGTATTCAAATCTGGACATATCAGGCATTTGTGCCAAATTGGTCCAGTGAATGAAAATACCAGATATTTACATTACGATTCATAACAGTAGCAAAATTACAGTTATGAAGTAGCACACAACATGAAGAACTGTATTAAGGGGTCGCGGCATTAGGAAGGTTGAGAAGCACTGCCTTAGAGGCATGCAAACAGCCAGGCTTCCGAGTTTAGCATCTGTCAACTTTTGGTGAAAATCAACAAGAGATCAGCATATCTTGATGGGCTTTGTTCCAAAATGTAATTGTTTTAGTGAATCAACAAAAAAAGCACTGACGTCTTGTGTTTGTGTGTGCTCTTAGTGTCTTGAAAGATAAGCCACCCAAGATTCAGGGCCAGAACATGCAGGGAAATAGAGAGGTTCGTGACATTTTACATTTATGATGGTGAAAGTCAGCTGGATGGCAGATCTTGAGCAAGATTACTTGCTTGAGTCATTTGTTTTTACCTTATTCTTCTTACTTTTCCACAAAGGTGGAGAAATTACCTTGGAGGGGAAGCTGAGTCACCATCTTTTGACCTGAAATCAGTTTTAATGCTAAAGGGGATTTGTACCTTGATTTCTAGTTCATCTGTGACTAAAATATATTCTTTTCTACCCTTTTGGAACAATATTTCACCATCCAGGTTTTGGTGCACCTAAACTGAAGAATTAATGTGGTTTGGCACCACTTCAACTGCCATGGCTCAATGCTATGGAATCCGGAGGGTTGTCATTTGGTTATCACTAGTACTATTTGGCAGAGAAGTCTAAAGACTTTGCAAAACTATAACTCCTATGATTTCATAGCATTGTGCCATGACAGTTAAAGTGGTGTCAATCTGCATTAATTCAACAGTGTAGATGCCCCAGTTGTCAATTTCATCAGAAGTCTGTAAGTTCTTCTATTTTACTTTAGAAATATACTAAAACAAAAATATCAACTCTTCATCAGAGTTGTGTTCAGAAATGGAAACAGTTGTCTAACCATATATATATATTCAATATAAAAGTTTTAATTTTGTCATAGTCACATAATGGCAGGTGATTAATGTTTCATTACTAACCATTATACCTTCCAGAAATAGGTTTGAACATAGTACTAAGCTGTGGATTCTGCATTAAAGTCTTCTATATAAATAAAAATGTAATGTTCGTTTGTGGGATTAACAGAACTCAAAAACCACTGGACGAATTGACACCAGATTTGGACATAAGACACCTAACAACCCAATGTATGTCCTTCACTCAAAAAAAATTGATTTTGTCATTTGGGAGTTGTAGTTGCTGGGATTTATAGTTCACCTACAATCAAAGAACATTCTGAACCCCACCAACGATGGAATTGAACGAAACTTGGCACACAGTTCTCCCATGACCAACAGAAAATACTGGAAGGGTTTGGTGGGCAGTGTCCTTTGGTTTTGGAGTTGTAGTTCACCTACATCACCTACATGCAAAGATCACTGTGGACACAAACAATGATGGATCTGGACCAAACTCTATATGAATACTCAAAATGCCCAAATGTGAACACTGGTGGAGTTTGGGGAAAATAGAATCTTGACATTTGGGAGTTGTAGTTGCTGGGATTTATAGTTCGCCTACAATCACAGAGAATTCTGAACACCACCAACGATAAAATAGGCCCAAACCTCCCACGCAGAACCCCCATGTGGGCCACAGCAACGCGTGGCAGGGGACGGCTAGTGTATAATAAAAGAAAACCAGGTTTTCAAGAATAGATCCTGCTTAGTATAGAAGGGGGCTTAGCTTGCCACACAGCACACTCTCCTAAACTAGCCTGCTCCCCTCCAATGTGGAGGAGACCTTCCCTCATTGCCAGTTTTGAAGGTACACCCAATTGCCAACTACTGTGCACGGAATACAAAAGGAGTATCAACTTCCCCTTTAATTTGGGCAGCAAATCTCTTGATCTGGTTGACTTTCCACAGGTCTCTAGCCAGAGTAAGCAGCTTTTTTAGGGTGTATGGTCATTGCTGGGTATACTTCTGAGTAAATATGCATTGGCTACTGTTACTAATATCAGAAGTAACAGTAACAGTAATATCAGGTTGGATTCTTGATGGCAGCCTGGAGCAAAACATTAACTCTTTACTGTTAATCCCTGCATGGATCCATAGTTTATAAAGCAAATGCTATACAATACTCACACTTGCTGCTGCTAGGAAATTATTAATGTCCGCTTTCCAGCCTCTCGGATCAGCTTTTGAGAAAAAGGAAATGTTTCTGAGCAGTATAGCTAGCCATTAAATAGTTGATCCAGGGATTGCTTGAGTGACACCATCCTTGGCTCTGTCTCATGCCAAAATATCCAACGGAGGCAACAGTCTCCACGCCCATGCTCCAATGTCACTGATGTAGGAATGATATGTTGTGGAATCTGTGAGCAACTCTTCCCATGCTTTACCAGTTGGATACCTCCTCCCACTGGAGGGCTAGGTTCCCATTTTGTGGAGTTATGCTACGGGGAAATTTATTTCTTGGAACTGGCTGTGGGTCCAAAGGATCCCAAAATATCAGGTAGATGCATCCTGGATAAGCAGAGCTTCATTCACAGATGGTGCCTCTGCTTGGTTTTAGGAATTGTCTCCTCCTTGGAGGTCTACCAGCTTCTAACACTGGTCTCCCTTGCCTCCCAGTAAGACTTGGCTGTCCATCAAAGGCATTGCAATCTTTCTGACAGCAGCTCACTTCCTTGGTGTATAATGTGTACTATTGTCTTCTGGTGATTATAATGTATCATAGAGTATTGTTGCTTTATTGTTTTATGTTGCATTGTTTTATTCATCATGTCCCACATTGTATTAGGAACCTAGGAATCTCTCTTTTCTTGAGGCACACCTAGCCCAGTGAATGAATGGTTTATTGTACCAGCCATAGGCCATGACATCACATAATATACAACCTTTAGGAGTACAATACAATAACTACAACAAGCATTTTCCAATATAAATATTAAAACTTATTCTATGTTATAGTAGCAGTGTCATGATAACAATAACAAATGTCTGATTTGTATCATCCCAAATTATCTCCATTTCCATTTCTAGTCTCCGCTGTGGATTTTATTAATTTAGCTCAGATTTTTTGGGATGCAACTACAAGTGTGGCAACCTTTAATGTTATATTTTTGGAATGATCTGCTAACAGGACACAGATAACTACTGACTGTTGCCATTCTACCCTTTCTTCCCAAAGGACCTAACCCAGTGTTGTCAACTTTGATTGGCAACAATATTTCTCCAGGTTCCTACTTAGAGATCACTGGGACTCCATGATAGTTTCCTATCTAAATCTTAGCCAGACCCAACTATGCTTACCTTCTAAAATTAAATCAGTTCAGGTGTGCTCAAGGAAATACAGTGATCTCTATAAATCGAAATATTGATACTATTCCATTATCTGGGATGAGGCCACTAGGGGGCAATAGAGAGAGAGAGAAGAATAGTCCATTTCATTGGGGGGGAGTTGAAGGAGGGAAACCATTTCTCCATTTTTGTTGTTATTCCCCCTCCCCCCTTCCCATATCATAAACAAGGGTTGCTCCTACAAGAGGGACATGGCTGTGGGAATAACAGGAGTCAGAGGAAAATTATTTAACTCCTTCAACCACCCCCCACCCGCATAAAATGGACTTTCCTTCTCTCTCTAGCACCCCCTTGTGGTCTCCATCTGGAAAATATAACAGTACCAAAATATTTTAATAACTAAACGATTGAACAATTACGTCTTTATCAACTCAGGTCTCATTGCAGGACAAGACAATTCCAAGAAGGTGGAAAGTGCCTATAAAATAACTATCCAATGTGTTTTTTAAAGTCTTTTTTGGACACACATGACACAGAAAGAATTAAACATTGCCTCACCAAAGAACCAAGCTAGTGTAGTGATTTGAATGTTGGACTATAACTCTGGAAATCAGAATTCAAATTCACACTCCATATGGAAAGCCATCAAGAGCAAGTACACTTTCTCCACCCCAGAGGAAGGCAAAGACAAACTCAGCTCAGAATGAACCTTACCCATAAAACTACACCATAGGGCTACCATAAGTCTAAAATGACTTGAATATATAAAACAAACTGCAAGGTTCACACTTTTTTCTTGCTCTGAATGTAAAAATAACCCTATGTGACATATTAAAAAAAATTCTGTTCCTGGTTTGAAAGTGTTAATTGTGCAGTGAAAGTACTCCAAAAACTTGGTTTTTGTGGCTGCCACAAACTATGTTGAATTGGTTGAGACTGTATGATATAGTCATTGAAAAACTATAGCAAAATATGCTGCAGGATGTCCCACAAAAACAAAGTTTTTGCCACTTAATAAGCCTTTTCCATGTTGTTATGATAGAACCAATTAGGAAATGACATTTATAACTCGGGACCAAAAATCATACTCCATCGTGTAATCTCTGCTTCTGGGTCATTTCTTTTCTTTCTTAAAGATGACTTCTCATAAATATACTCCCATTAAATGTATGGTATCAAAAATTCATAGCTTAAAAAAAATGAGTCTACTTTTTAGTACACCCCATTGACTGTAACTTACTTAGGGCTCCTAGATCTCAGGAGTGTCCTGGCCTCTTTTCTGAAGGTCTCCGGGGAAAATCTCAAAACTGCACCACGACTTTCAAACCTTTTTGGAAAAAACCCGAAACCAACCTTTCGTGCTGCTGTCCCTCTTGCTCCAAGCTATTTTGGAGTAGTTTCAGGAAACAACAGTCAGCATGGAGAAATACTGAGCTTCCTCAGTATTTGCTGCCTCAGAAATTGCTGAATATAGGACTACAGGGCTGTTGCTTTGTGGCTTTTCCAGTTTTATTGTTAACGTTTTCAGTTCTGCTACTTTCTTTCACGCCATATCCTGAATACTTGAAGTGATCTTGCTTATGAGATGCCGATTGGCTTCAAAACACCTAGCAAGATGTGCAACAATTCTCTTTCTCCTCCTTTATTTAGACACTTCAGGCCTGTAGCCAGGATTTTGATTGCGGGGAGCCGAGTTTGAAGCCCCTCAAGCCCCCCCCCCCCCCGCTATATGCCTGAGACACTTGATTTATTTTTCTTTCATTTCTCGATCTCAGTTCTTTTCATTTCAACTTCCCCCTTTCTCATCCTCTAGTTGACTCTGCTAAGCATTGTCTTCTTCTTTCTCCCCACCCTTAGCTCTTGATTGTATTCATCTCTCTTCTTTTCTACATCTTCTCTTTCCTACCCTTTCTCTTTCCCTCCCTTCCCCTATCCTGATGAATGTTTTCTTGTGTTATTATTGTTGCGTGCCTTTATATCCATACAAACTATTCCATGACTTGTATCACATACCACATTCTCCAAATACCTGCTCTATGGTCTCAGCAAGACTGCGTTTGGAAGGGAGAAAGCAATTTCTTAATGTATGCATGCTTTGTAGTTTTACCACTTTAGCTGCCATGGAGTGCACCTATAGTTTGTTAATGTATGTATACAATTGTATATAGTTTCACCACTTTAGCTACATAGGGTATATCTACAGTTTGTTAATGTATGCATACTATATAGTTTCACCACTTTAGCTGCCATAGAGTGCACCTACAGTTTGATAATGTATGCATGTCGAAGGCTTTCATGACCGGAATCACTGGGTTGTTGTAGGTTTTTCCGGGCTATATGGCCATGTTCTAGAGGCATTCTCTCCTGATGTTTCGCCTGCATCTATGGCAAGCATCTGTCTGAGGGTACATCTACCTACATAGGGTACATCTACCATTTGTTACTGTATGCATGTGATATAGTTTCGCCACTTTAGCTGCCATAGGGTTCATATACAGTTTGCTAATGTATGTATACTATATATTGTTACCACTTTAGCTAGACAGGGTGTATCTACAGTTTGTTAATGTATGCATGCTATATAGTATTACCATTTTAGCTACATAGGGTACATCTACAGTTTGTTAATGTATGCATACTATATAGTCTCACCATTTTAGTTACATAGGGTGCATCTACCATTTTTAATGTATGCATATTATATAGTTTCATCACTTTAGCTGCCATAGGGTGCATCTACCATTTGTTAATATATGCATACTACATAGTTTCACCACTTCAGCTGTCATAGGGTGCATTTGCAGTTTGTTAATGTATGCATGCTATATAGTTTCACCACTTTAGCTGCCATAGGGTGCATCTACAGTTTGTTAATGCATGCATACTATATAGTTTCACCACTTCAGCCACATAGGGTGCATCTACAGTTTGTTAATGCATGCATACTATATAGTTTCACCACTTCAGCCACATAGGGTGCACCTACAGTTTGTTAATGCATGCATACTATATAGTTTCACCACTTCAGCCACATAGGGTGCATCTACAGCTTGTTAATGTATGCATAATATATAGTTTCACTACTTTAGCTGCTATAGAGTGCATCTACAGTTTGATTTCACTTTAACTGCCCTGGCTCAGTGCTATGGAATCATGGGGTTTGAAGTCAGATGGCATAAAATGACGACAAATAGTTGCTGAGGATGAAATATGCCAGCTGCAATACTCATGCAATGTTACATGGTGCCTTCTTTGTCAAAGGTGCTTTGTTGTTGTTGTTCATTCGTTCAGTCGTTTCCGATTCTTCGTGACCTCATGGACCAGCCCACACTAGAGCTCCCTGTCGGATGTCACCACCCCAGCTCCTTCAAGGTCAATCCAGTCACTTCAATGATCCCATCCACCCATCTTGCCCTTGGTCGGCCCCTCTTCCTCTTCCTTTTTCCTTCCATTTTCCCCAGCATCATTGTCTTCTCTAAGCTTTCTTTTCTTCTCATGATGTGGCCAAAGTACTTCATCTTGGCCTCTACTATCCTTGCTAATCTTAACATTTTATAGAACATTTTATAGAATTAAGACAAAGCCCTTGAAATGATTTCAATTGGCACTCATTCTATTGTGTAGATACACCAATAGCACCATGTAACATTGCATGAGCATTGCAGCTGGCATATTTCATCCTCAGCAACTATTTTGTTGTCATTTTATACCATCACAAATTTGTGTTTCAAACTGATTTCCTGAGATGTTTTTCTTCCCTTAATTTGATATCTAATGCACCCTAGCGTTATGCAAATGTGTGCATTACATGGAAGTGGAACTAGCCCAAAATATTCCAGGTGAAGATCTGGTGGACATGATCCCTCTCCCCAGCCACAGTTTGCGCAACAGCTGTCCTTCTGACCCATATAAAATGAAAAACACAATTTTTCAAATGTTCCCTAACTTAATTCCTCCTCGTATCTTAAAAGCAGCTTGTAAGTGCCAGAGATGTTTTCATTTGACCTTTAAAATAAATAAATAGCA